CTTCTGATTGGTATAATCATTTTTTCTTATAACTAGGTATTTAAAAAATAAAGTTATATAATTTTATACTATTATTTCGAAGCTTAAAAAATACAAAAATCCAGTGAACACTGCAGATCTCACATTACTACAGATGCAATATTGAGTTAATGTAATTAATTACTTAACAAACAATGATAGTAAAGACTTCCTGGATGAAATGGTGGTACATAGGGGAAGTTTGTATGTATTTTAATTTTCATTCATTCATCAACTTCTCACCCCAAATACAAACAAATACAACTAGCTTCCTGTTATTGGAAGCTGATTGGGCAATTTATGGATGATAATAATAATGAAAATTTCGTGCTGTCTTGTTCATAAAGCACTTTTGTCTATGTATCTTAACAAAACGGTGAGGTAAACATTACCATCTCCACTTTAAGATTAAAGAAACTAGGACTGGGACGGATTAAGGTTTGTCCATGGACGAAGTAACTAGAATCTAGAACTTCTGATATTAGACTCATTGCCATTTTAATGTTGCCCCTTTTAGCTATTTTTCAGATTGGCGGAAAGGAGCATAGAGGTTTATTTCTAATCAACATCTTCATTTTCTCAGTGAATAAACAGTGGACTTTACCTTAAGGTTACCAGACAGACTTCAGAGTCTCCCTGCCCCCTCAACACACATGCACGTGCGTGCACACACACACTCACAGACACACACACAGCTTTTTTAATGATCTGAAGAAAAGCACATCTGTCTTTTCCCTATTAAGAGTTTTTATGTCAGAGGAACAGTCAAAAGATAAGATACATGGAGGAGTTATAAAAGCAAAAAATTTTTTAAATAAAAAAATGTATTACAGTCATGCACTCTGATCTAAGATTCTTCATTGGAGACTCCAGCTCTCTGATTTTATTCCTGAAGGGCAGTCTCCTCAACCTTTCTCTTAGCTCTCTTAAGCTTACAGAGCCATTAAGTCCAAAGAGCAGTTTTTGTGCCAGGCACTCTTTTAAATACTTTATATGTATTAACTTAATTAATCCTCACAATAACTTCATAAATTAGGTACTAATACTGAGCCACAGATTAAGTAACTATCTGAAGTTCACAGCTAATGGTGGCACTAGGATTCAAACCTAGCCTATTAATTCCAAGGCTAGGATTTTTAACTGCTGGGTTCTACTGCTTTGAACTAGATGACTGTTTATCTTAAGTTGATTAAATGCATTTTTCAGGATCTCCAGATTGGATGAAATTCCCTTCCTAAGATTCCTGACTCTCACAAAAACAGATCTTGGAACATTTCCTTAGGGTTTTATTATCCCATTTTACAGATGAAGTTAAGTGACTTGCCCAGAATCTTAGTTTATTAAGTGGTCTTGTTAGAACTAGAACTTAGGTCCTCTGCTTTTGGCACTATAAACCAGCACTGTCACTTTTTAACTCAGTAGCTACCGTCAGTTCAGGTGATCCACCCATGTTGAAATTTTGTTACAGCAGCAAAAGCATGTCCACGTCCTTCACTCACATTTCAGTACACCTTTGTGACTGTCCTGGAATACAGTTAGGTCAGCCCATAAGTCTCTGGTGTTACAGTGTTCATACCTTATGGAGGGACACATGGAGACATAGTAATGGAAGTACCTTATGGATGTGGATACAAGAGATAGCTATTACTTAAAATTTTTTTTTTTTTTTTTTTTTGCTGAGGACACTTCGCCCTGAGCGAACATCTGTTGCCAATCTTCCTCTATTTGCTTGAGGAAGAGTCGCCCTGAGCTAACATCTGTGCCAATCTTCCTTTGTTTTGTATGTGGGTCACTGCAATAGCATGGCCACCGACAAGTCGTATAGATCTGTGCCTGGGAACCGAACCTGGGCCACCAAAGCAGAGTGCACCGAAGTTAACCACTAGGCTATGGGGCGCTTTTAACATGTAATTCTATTAAAAATTTAATTACGTCGTAACTAATGCTGTCAAGAGCCAAATTAACATTTTAGAATATTCATATTTCTGAGCTTTGAGATGGTCAGCAAATGACATGACAAAATTAATTTCAAATCTTCTAACTCAAAGAAGAGTCGAGTGTGAAGAAATGCAGCAATTTTTCTTCAGGGCCTTTGTGCAGATTTTTTTTAGAGAAAGCCCCTTCTGACTTCATGTGGAGTAGAAAACTAGCTTAGTTTATTTCATGCTGCTCAATCTAATTTGGAATCATTTTTTAATTCCTAGATGCTTGGGTACAGAGAGCTTGCTTCCCAGAGGCTTGTTTCCTGACAGTGGAGAGTAAAGGATTAAATTGAGCTGAAACTAAATTGATTGACATTTTGACACTCTGCAATTGTGAAAAGAAAAGGAATTTGTTCAACTTTTTAAAACAGACAGCAGCAGAAAGAACTATTTTCTTAAAAGTACCCCAGTTTGCAAAGATAATTTAGTCTTTTTCTTAAAAAACCAAGAGGCATGTTCTAGCACTTTCCCAATTTCCTATATTATAGTTCAAAGCAAGAATTTAACTTGGAAAAGCTTTTGAAAAGGCCTGGATGGGGATGTTAAAATAGTCTGTTTTGCTGAACAGGCACTGACAGAGGTCTTTTGAGGGGAAACAAAGGACTATGCACTTCTGGGGTATCACTATAGGAACCTATTTATAAAAGACAAGTATACATATTTATGAAATCTTTATCTCTAGCATTTTTAAATGCTAGAGACATTGTGTGAATTGAGTAAGATAGATTTCCTGCTGACTTCTTTTTCAGACAGATACAGATGATTACCATGCCATCATCTTTCCTAAACGGCATCATTTAGTGTTGACTTCAATAAAATCCCATCTCTGCTGTGTCATGAAAGGAACTGGACTCACCTTAATAGTGCTATTCTAAATAGCCTGCTGCCTTTTTTTGATCATTGCAGAAGGCTGTAATAAATTATAGCCTGGAAGAAATTGCAAACTGGCAAGTTTGCCAGATATTTAAAGCAATTTATTTTGGGGTGTATCAGCAGATTTTTTCTTACACTGCCATTTGGGTGCCTGCTGACACAGCCTGAATAAATCTTTCAAACATTTTTCCTTCCTAGAGATGGATGAAGATGATGATGAACTGGGCTCCAAGATCCAGACCTTTCATTAACTTTTCACTTACCAACTGGTTCCTTCTTATTACCAGATCGATAGGAAACTTAAGATACCTATTTCCAGCATGAATTTGCAATATTTCAAGTCGCTCAGTACCTTGGCAACAACTTTAAGGTTTATTGAAGGATCAACGAACAAAAGAGTGATTCTGGTTTTAGGCATAGAATTTATAGTTTAGATTGATTATTGTTTCACTATTAATATTTTGAAAATTGCCAAACTAATCAATAGGAAAACAGATCTGAAAATTTGTATAAAACAAAGATGTTTCTTCTCAATTCTCACATACGTTGAGTCTTAAAGTGACTTCTTCCTAATTTTAGTCTCTTTTCTCTTATAATTGGATGGTGAAATTGTTTTTAAAAATTAATGTCTTGGGCCGGCCCCGTGGCTTAGCGGTTAAGTGCGCGCGCTCCGCTGCTGGCAGCCTGGGTTCAGATCCCCGGTGCGCACCAACGCACCTTCTCCGGCCATGCTGAGGCCGCGTCCCACGTACAGCAACTGGAAGGATGTGCAGCTATGACATACGACTATCTACTGGGGCTTTGGGGGGAAAAATAAATAAATAAAATCTTAAAAAAAAAAATTAATGTCTTGCTCTGGAATTCCTAAGGCAGCTTTATTGATATACATTTTAGTCAAGTAATTTTTTTTGTGTGAGGAAGATCAGCCCTGAGCTAACATCTATTGCCAATCCTCCTCCTTTTTTTTCCCCCCAAAGCCCCAGTAAATAGTTGTATGTCATGGTTGCACATCCTTCTAGTTGCTGTATGTGGGACGTCACCTCAGCATGGCCAGAGAAGCCGTGGGGCAGGTGCACACCCAGGATCCCAACCTGGCCGCCAGTAGCTGAGCGCGGGCGCTTAACCGCTAAGTGACGGGGCCGGCCCCTAGTCAAGTATTTTGAAAAGCTAAAAATACAGATGCTTGAAAATATTTGTTCTGATGAGACTGGAAGGGCAAGAGATATGGCAGCTATCTTTTATTGAGTGCCTGCACTGGGCCAGCCCCTTTTGTAAGCCACTACATTGCGTGCAGGAGAGAAAAGAGATTCTCATTTTACAAAGAGCTGGTTCCTGGTCAGGTGAGAGGCACTGCTCAGTGAGTTGTTAGGAACATGATAAAGGCATCAGGGAATAGGGTTTGGTGGGAAAAGCCCTAGATCAGGACTCATAAAACCGGGGTTCTTATCTAAGTGACATTACTTACAAAGGAGGTCATCTGGCTAGACCCTGAATGTTTTCACATCTGTAAAGTGAGGGTATAATCTTTAGCCTCTCTTCCTCTTTAGATCATTTGGCACAATAGTTCTCAACCATGGCTGCACACTGGAATCACCCGGGAGTTTTGAAAAATACTGACGTCTAGATCCCAACTTAAGGAGATTCGGATTTGATTGGTCTAAGGTACAGCCCGGCCCTGAAATTTTTAAAATGTCCACAGGTGATTCATATGTGCAGCTAAGGCTATGAATCCTTAGTTTGGAGGATGGTTAGGAATGCCCTTTATAAATTTATTTATAAAGGTTAGCAGATGTTATCAACAAAGTAGATAGGTTTTTGTCTCATCATAACTTCAACTATTTGCTTTAAGAAAAATCCAGCTAATCTCTTAATTTCCCCAGGCCGTAGCACATAGGAAGCGGTTGATAAATATTTGTTGCATTTGTGAATGTTCGGCCTCTTAAAGTTTTAAGATCACTTGAAAAATGGGGTTTGTTTAAGGTTCAATGTATAGAACTGGTTAAGAGGCAGGAACTTGCTGGTGAAACATTCCCAAGAAATGCGAGCCTTGCTTGCTCACTCCCGGCTCGCTTCACTCCTTCACCCAAGCCGCGACGTATAGGGTTGGGGCTGGCTGCTGGCGGCGGCCGGCCGCCGGGACTCCACAGCCGAGCCCCAGGGCTGCGGCGGCTCCCTCCGCGCGACCCGGCGGTCCCAGTTTGGCCGCCGGGAACCGGCTCTGCCCGCACTTCGGCCCTGCGGAGCCTAACGGGAGCGCCTGGTGCCCGAGCCGGCAGGGGCCAAGATGCGGAGTTGTGTGCCTTGAGCCGACCCTATGACCCTGAGCACGTTGGCCCGCGAGAGGAAGGCGCCCCTCGCCTGCACCTGCAGCCTCGGTAGCCCCGACATGATCCCCTACTTCTCCGCCAACGCGGTCATCTCGCAGAACGCCATCAACCAGCTGTGAGTGCGCCGCGCGCCCTCCCGCCCTCCGCGAACGCTCGGAAAGTTTGCTTTTCAGCAGACGCTTTTCGCAGCATCCTGGGGAGCCAGCAAGCGAGGGCGAAAGGGGGGATAGTGAGGTGGAGGTGTGGGGTAATTGTTGGGAGCAGAAAGTGTCCCCGGGGGGTGGGCGGACAGAAGAATCTTTTGCGAGGATTTCTGGTAAACTGTGAGGGAATCTGAAAGTGGAGTCGTCCCGGGGAGGTTGTCTGTGGTGACCGAGTGACAGCTGAGCTGTATGGCACTCGGGAGACTGGGGGTGAAGGGCGGTCTGTAGCCTCTGAACCGCCAGCCGGAAACGCTAGGACTCACTTGGGGGTCCTGCTGGTGATCAAGCTCTCCTGTTTATTGTTTTGGTTTTTTGTTTCAAATAAGTTTGCGTGTGATCATAGGTTTCTGTTACAAGCCGTTCACACAAAGAAAGGCAGTCCATTCTTCTCTCCCGCTGGTTGTAGTCTGGAATTATTTCAGAAAACTGGACTTCGGTAGCTGAGTTGTTTTTCTTTTTGTCTCCCTCTGTAGTACTGCGTGCTCACATGACAAGCCTGCATGCACACCTTCATTCACTAAAGTGCAAGATTCAAGCACATCTTTAAATCGTCACTGTTTTTGAAGTCTCTAGAGTTGTCGTCCTTCCCTTCCACTGTGGTTGAGCTATTTCTGAGAACTGTGTGCTGAAGCTTGTGGTTAATCTCACCTCGCAGTTATAAAGTGCAAGTAGAGGAACTCCATCTAGTCAAGTTGCATCCTTGCACTAGTGGAATGGTTTAGGGTTACTTTAGATAGCAGCAGTTTTGTCTTCTTAGTGTATTAGTGCTCCAGGGTGGCTTCAGGAGAGTCACCTACTGAGGTTTTCCCAGACTCCCAGCACTTAAGCAGCTGTGTCTCCCTCCCAGGTCAGCCTGAAGAATTTTTTTCGTTGAATGTCTAACAACAGAAACTTTCCATTATCCCTTACTAAAGGTCCCAAAAATAGCATGTAAAGTGATATATAGATAATCTTACATCTAATTTACTCTTTCAGTTAATGGTTTGCTCTCCTACCAAATCAAATTAAACTCATTTGAGTTTCAGCGTTTTTTCCTTTGAGTTGATTTATGGTGGAGCGCCTATAAAAAGCCCCCAAAAAAGTGATTTTATTGCTCTGTACTGTAAATTCTACAGAATTAAATCAACTGCTTACTTGTGTTTTCCCTTTAAAAAAAAAAAGACAAATGGGGTGAAAGAGAAGGAAAAGAGTGAATAATCTGAAACTGGATAATCAATCTCAAAATAATAATGTTAACAATACTTTAAGAATAAAAAAAGGCAGTGGAAGCAATCCACATGTCTATCAATGGATGAATGGATAAACAAAATGTGGTATGTAATACAGCTCAATATTACTCAGCCTTAAGAAGGAAGGAAATTCTGACAAATGCTACAACGTGGATAAATTTTGAAGACATTATTCTAAGTGAAATAAGCCAGTGAGAAAGGACATATACTGTATGATTCCACTTTTATGAGGTACCTAGAGTAGTCTGGTTGCCCTGGGTCAGGGCAGGGCAAGTGGGAAGTTTGAGTTTAATAAGTAAAGTTTCATTTGAGGAAGAAGAAAAATTCTGGGGGTGGTTGGTGGTGATGGTTGCACAACAATGTGAATGTATTTAATGCCACTGAACTATACACTTAAAAATGGTTAAAATGGCAAATTTTACATATATTTAACTATAATTTTAAAAAAGATTAACAAAATTTAAAAGGCAGAGCTTCTAAGCTTTTGAGGGCAAAAGGAGTTTTGACTTTTGCTTCCTAGTGTAATCAAATAAGTCCAGATTTCTTTTCCTACTAATTAGTGTCTTTGGGTAAGTCATTTGACTTCAGTTTTTTAAACTGTAAAATGAAGATACGGTGATTCCTACCCCAGAGGACAGTAAGAGATCATATGTGCAGTAACACTTTGCACGCTATAAATCCCTACGCAAAAAATGAGTTACTTGAGGGGCAGGCCCGTGGCGCAAGCAGTTAAGTGCGCGGCAGCCGCAGAGGGTTCGCCAGTTCGGATCCCGGTGTATACCGTCGCACCGCTTGTCAGGCCATGCTGTGGCAGGCGTCCCATATAAAGTGGAGGAAGATGGGCATGGATGTTAGCCCAGGGCCAGTCTTCCTCAGCAAAAAAAAAAGAGGAGGATTG